GTGGGTCTGTGTATCTACCATAGACTAGAGTCTTCTTCTATGCTGACGCCACAGTGGTGTCAGATGTGGGATCACCCCAAACAGACTGGAGGAGAATGGCAAGCACAGCGGCTAAACACTGGAGAAGACCGAGTCCAACCGACAACTGTGATAGAGGAGCAGTGTAGTAGAGTAAAGACGAGCAGCAGAGGACAAGCGATGCAGCTGGCCACCAGAACCTGCCGGCAGGGACCACTGGATGTCAGCTGATGGGAAGAGGCCTGGTGCAGTGTGGCTGGAGGTCGGAGCTGGCACAAGAAGGCCTGATGACTCAAGAAGACTCTCCGCCCAGGGACTCTCACTACTGCCACAGATAGGACATGTGGCCAGATGGAGCAGTGAGTGCAGAGCACCATGGGTATCACTGTGCAGCAGTAGAGAGGCCTAATTCATGTCAATAGTTGTGGCTGTTATTTATTTTGTGCTATTGTTGGGCTATTCTGTGCTGGGTGTGAGGGTAGCTGCATCTTCTTCTCCTAAGCAAACACCACAGTATACAATAATATTCTAGAGAATCAAAAGCAACTGTGACAGTATGACAGTGCACAAAGGGATGTTCATAAAGAATCATAGAAATGGTTTGCCAAGTTTGGTGTGAAAGATCTGCATAGTGCCCTGAACCATGGGCAGATTTAGTGGTGGTGCATTTCTCCGAGTAAAAATCGGATTGACCCTTCAAGTGCCTCTCTCCTGTCACTCATCACCTCCAAGTGAGTCATTGATATCCAAATGTTTTGATTGATGCATATTCCACTCCACTCCAATCATGAAGAAACAAGAAGAATTCTGAGGAATTCCCTTCCACATATTCCTTTTTAAGTTATGGAAAAATGTTTTCGGGAACCTTTGTATAATAGAAAAGGGCTTTGTGACAATCTGAATGTATAGTGTTTAATTAATAGGCCAGCACACAACATAAACGTATCATTTTAGTTGTTGTTATGATTAATCACGCACACACATCATCTAAACCGCTTATCCTTCTGGGTTGCGGTGGGGAGCTGGAGCCTATCCCAGCTGTTGTTATGATTAATGTAATACCTAATGTAATCTGAGCACTGAAACCAAATAAAGGAAATGTAATTAATTTTCTGAGTTTTCAGTCATCCTCTGAAGCAGATCTCAATCTAGATGTTGAACTGATTGTCCAGTAAAGGTCCATCATTTTTGAAAGTCAGATGATAAAATCAGCCCATGACTACGTTGGCATGGGCTTGTGTGTGTATGAGTTTATTTGTTAAAACTGGTTTCATGTTGGTTTTAATCAAGCACATGAATGATTATATTTTCCAGGTCCAGGACTCCATAGCACTTCCACAACATCAGGTACCGCTTCCATTTCACTCTTTACGAACATCCTAAAATCACTTTTTGTCACTTGCTAATGTGGAAACATTTTTGTGGTGCAGAAACTGCAATTTTAATTGATTTGTGGAATCCTAATTTGCTCGAGATCCCTAAATGAATGCATTCTGGTTTTGTAAGATCATGAAAAAGCCAATGAAGAAACATGACTTTTTGTTTTTCTGAATGAGACATGGCGGCACGGTGGCACAGTGGTTAGCGCTGTTGCCTCACAGCAAGAATCGCCTGTGTTCGATTCCCGGCCGGGCGACCAGGGTCATTTCTGTGTGGAGTTTGCCTGTTCTCCCTGTGTCTGCGTGGGTTTCCTCCGGGTACTCCGGTTTCCTCCCACAGTCCAAAAACATGCAGTCAGGCTGATTGGACATGCTAAATTGCCCCTAGGTGTGTGTGACTGTGTATGTCTGTCTGCCCTGCGATGGACTGGCGACCTGTCCAGGGTGTATCCTGCCTTCCGCCCAATGACAGCTGGGATAGGCTCCAGCACCCCACCGCGACCCAGAAGGATAAGCGGTTTAGAAGATGTATGTATGTATGTATGAATGAGACATTCAGGAAATATTGTGAGACGACAGCTTGACTATTGGCTGTCAGTGTATCTCTTTTCCAGTGCATGCTGTGGCTAATTTTAAATGTCCTTCATAACTTCCCATTGACAGGCTTTACAGAATGTTCAAAAGACTACAAGAAGTAAAACCGAATTACAATTTACCAGACAAATGAGTGAACATATGGTCATATATTGGTTGTTGTGCAAAAACATGTGTTATTGCAAGATGTGATATGCTAGTGTAAACATGACCTATCACATGCTCTTAAACAGCTTTAAATGAAAACTCTTTGCGAACAAAAGCCTATTTGTATGGCATGGCTGCTAACATCATTTATTTTCTCTGTGTCTTTATGGCTGTTGCTGACTTAAAGTTTATCAGCAGTTTGAGATGTTCTTGAGCTTTAAGTTTCTCCAGTTTAAATGGGACTGATACAGCTCAGTGTGCTAGATAAAGCAGTTACTTTATGAATTCAGGCTTTACAGTTTATTCAGGGGGAGGAGTCTAATGCTGAACATGATGGAAACTTAGAAAATAAGACAGTCACCTCGTGTGAGGGCATTCATTTAGCCAGAAAATTGTAAAATAACATGGCCTCCTCAAGTTTGAGTTTGTCTCTCTTATGGGGTTGATTGAGGTGATTGTCTTCTAAGTTTTTATCAGCCCCACCTGAATTAAAATGCTGGTGAGATCTATGAGCTCACAAACATGAATTGATGTTGGTTTTAAGCACATGAATGATCATATTTTGCCCTAATCTGTACCTAAATTTGTACTTCTCTTATCGTCCATCTTTAGTGTCTGCGGCTGAGCTGGTGGTGTTTGGAGTGCAGTGTGGAGTGGTGTGTGCCATGCTGGCTGCTGTTCTTCTCTTTCTTTGTCTCAGCTCAGCTACCTGCACCTGTTCTTCAGCCATTTGTACAAAGTGAATACAGCCAATTAGCCAATACAGCCAATTAGAAAACCACACACACACACAGCTACCTGCACCTGTTCTTCAGCCATTTGTACAAAGTGAATACAGCCAATTAGAAAACCACACACACACACACACACACACACACACACACACACACACATACACACACTAACTATGCTCCTTATCCTTCTGGGTCGTGGGGTGCTGCAGCCTTTCCCAGCGGTCATTGGATGAAAGGCAGGAAACATACTGGATAGGCTGACAGTCCATCACATTGCACACACACAGACATATACACTCACACACACATTCACATCTAGGGGCAAGTTAGTGTGTCCAATTGGCCTGACTGCGGGGGAAACCCACACAGTCACAGGGAGAACATCACACAGAAGGGACTGTTGTTGCCTGGCTGGGGAATCGAACCCAGGCCCTTCTTGCTGTGAGGTGACATCGCTATGACAAAACCAAACCAACCCCTGAAAAAAAGTTGCATCAACTTAAAATGATGAAGTAATTGATATCACAACGTTTTTGAGTTAGTTTCTTCAAAAGTTCTCCTAACTCACAATTTTACTGCTGTGGTTCAGTTAGGTCATGCTGTTTAAGTTGAGATAAACTCAAAAACAAAACAAAAAAAAAATCTAAAGTGCTACAACTGTTTAACTGCCCAATTGTCAGGAGATCATACTTTTTGAATCCCGGCAATGCAACAATCCACTCCAATCAGGAGTAGAAAGTCCTTACTCCCCCACCCCCACCCTCACTAAACTGCAGATGGAAATTAGCAATGAACAAATTGCAGAGGAGAAGGAAACTAAATTTGAGTAAGCTCAACTTATTATTGACCTAACTGAGATGCACAACTACAAATGTGACTTACGGTCACAAGCTGAAAGTTGCTGAAAGGCACTCATTCAGAAATTAACATATTGCCTAACAGCACATTTTAAAAGTAAAAATACTACATATTACATTTATACTTTGCTGTCTTCAGCTTTGTTCTACCACATACTGTAAATGTGTTAAGGTTGAGAATATGATTTAATGTTTTGAAGCCATTTTTAAGGAATAAAACTGCTTGTGATCAGTGAGGTTTTGGTGACTTTTAGTGATTTGATGGATAATAACACTGGGAGGGCGTTTAACTCCACAAAACATAATTTAGCAATATGTTTAGCGATATGTTGGATGTATATATGTGTGCTGTGTGAGGGCCACTTCTATATGTTAAATAGAAACTGAATTGTATTTTTGTACATAATCCTTGATCAGGAAGAAACAAATAAACACTCTTGCTCTCAACAGACTAGATAACAGCTGGATTTTATGATCTTCTTTTTTACCTTGATTTTGTGAGATTTGTCAGCCACACCAGTAATAAAGATATGGAGCTTCAGGAAAGTAGTGAATGTGTTTCACAGATAGAGGGCAGCAGAGTGCTTTGTCAGAGAAGCCAGATTTAATTTAATCATCACCAACTCCGCTTCTGCAAATCTACTATCCTGCAAAGTTTAACTGTAACATCTAGTTTGGCTCATTGTTTTCAGAAGTGCACGATTAGCTGGATCAGGTGTGTGAAATCTGGGATTTAGAATTATGTGGCTCTCTAGAGGAGGGTTGGTGACCACTGTCTTAAACCCTAAAGGCCCATATTTGGGCCCACAACACAAATTTTTCTCTCTAAATAACTTTCCTAATCTCATAACTAGATGTTACCATAATGTATAGAAGTTAGTGAATAAAAAATCTTAACATTTATCAAAATGACTTTTAGACAGCTTCAATTCCACCTGTTATTCAGGCAGAACTTGCAGTGTGTTCAGCGTTGTGGTTAAACAAACAAATCACGCAGGTATCTGTCTGTTTAGTGATTTATCAGTTTAATCTGAGAAAAGCAATAGCAGCCCGATGTCCTGTCCTACGTTCTTTATTTTGTGTTTTCAATATGCTGGAGACTTCCATTATATTAATGAAATGCTGTTAATTTTTGAACAAATGCTATCATCAAAACATGAGATGTGTGTTCAGTCAGAGTGTGGAAGTGTTGTTCTATCAGAGGTTGGGCAGCGCTGTTCTATCAGAGTGGGAAGATGGTCTATCAGACTGTGAAGGAGCTGTGTCAGAATGTGTAGGTGCTGTATCAGAATGTGGGGGTGCTGTGTCAGAATGCGGAGAGGTCGTACTTCTGCAGCGTCGATGTTTCCTTTAAAGTGCTTCTCCTTCATGCTTATCGTGAGGAACTAGGAGTGGTCAGTAGCATTCATCTCTCAGAGCTCCTCTGCTGAGTCCTACAGCAGCACAAGACACTCGAGTGCAGAAACAGTCTGAAAAGAGTTATACGCTGTGCTGAGTTCTGGCCTTTTAAGAAATTCTTAAAGGAGGTTAGTGATGTGTGGAGTAGAATGCAAACTCTTCTGAGGATTCTGTCACTGTTTCAGGGTAAATTCAATCTGTTTCATCACACTTGGTTTATTAACGTCATTATTAATGTTTATTACCATCATTGTTTATAATACTGGTTGAATTGGTTGATTGCTAGAAATTATGATTACCATGAATTGTTTTTGAATAATTAATGTTCACTGCCATGTAAGATTTATTAAGAAGAAACTTGATCTATGAATTAATTTTCAGTAAATACAGAGAAAACACCTTTTCAGACAAATAAATGTTAAACTAAAGATTATGTACAATGTTTAACTGCTAAAACAGTCTTCTTCTTTATCTTTAATACTAACTACTTATGTTTTGAACACTTTTTTATTGTTGCTATTTAACATCAGTTGGACTTTGCAGATTTTAAATGCAAAGTGTTATTTTTCTAGTTCTGATCTGTGTGGAAATGAAGAACCAATCTGGAAATGTGTTTACTGGAACAGAAGGAGGCAGAGTGGAAATATCCTGTAATTATCCTGATGGATACCAATATGTGTCCCACTACTTTTGCCATCATCCATGTGGTTATTCTGATGTTTTAATTGAAACTCAGAAGGCTGATAAAGTCACCTCTAAAGGCAGATACTCTATACTGAACATTGTGTCTACACGGAGCCTTTCTGTCACTATCAGAAACCTCAGATTAGGAGACTCTGGGGTTTATTACTGTGGAGTGGATAAATGGGGAAAAGACAGACTCAGTAAAGTAGAGGTCACTGTCAGGAAAGGTAAGATATAACCAATTCCTAAATAACCTATTTAAACTTATTTATGCTTATTTTAATACACACATATCGCTGCTGTCAGAAGACAACCTCATATCGTCGATGAATAGACCAAAAGAAATGGCTCAAAATTACTTGTAAAAAAGTCTGGTTCCAAAAGTTAAGCATGTTTTTCCTACCGTTTTGGAGATACAAGGTATATATATACATAAATAAAGATGAGTGGCCAAAATTCCTCCACAGCGCTGTAAAAGACTCATTGCCAGTTATCGCAAACGCTTGATTGTAGTTGTTGCTGCTAAGGGTGGCCCAACCAGTTATTTAGGGGGCAATCACTTTTTCACACAGGGTCCTGTAGGTTTGGATTTCTTTTTCCCTTAATAATAAAGATCTTCATTTATAAACTGCATTTTGTGTTTACTTGTGTTATCTTTGTCTAATATTTAAATTTGTTTGGTGATCTGAAACATTTAAGTGTGACAAACATGCAAAAGAATAAGAAATCAGGAAGGGGGCAAACACTTTTTCGCACCACTGTATATATAATATATATATTAAATATACATTCAATATGTAATGTGAATCACCTGAAGCTCAGTTTAGGATGACCTTAAATTGAAAGGTCTTGTTAAACTCTGAATTGAGTTACATAATGTCTTAGTATGAATTATATCTTCATATGTTCTGCTGGTCTCGTGTTGATCTTCAGCAGTTACTCCTAAGCCCACTGCTGCTCCACTGTCCACTCTTCAGACCACTACAGACCTGTCCAGTGTGTCCACAGTCACAAAGATTACTGCAGGTAATGCAAAGTGGGTGCTCATTTTTAATGCTCCATCTAGAAATCTCCTAACTAAAGTTGTTAACTACTTAGCAGCATCAATGAATATCAGATTAAATGTTTTGTTTTTATAGTCACACAGAACATTTTCTTCTACTCTTCCACTTTCAAAGATCACATACAGATACACTTGAGCACGCTAAGTTAAGAAATACTGAGTGAATATTTGTTGAGGCAGAACAATCAGTATAAATAAATTTTAAATACAGAATTACTTTTTTGCTTACAAAAGAGAAATGTAGTCATTTATATCTTTCAGATTTTTCCAGCAAATATGAACAAGCAGCATCCACAACACAGTCCACACATCCCTCAGTCCTGCAGGGTAAACGATTGATGTTGACCTTTCCTTGTACTTAAGTTGCATCATTATCATAATAAGCTTTATCATGAAAGTAAAAGAGAATAAATAAAATGTTAATATCAGTATCACCGTGCTGATAACTTTCACTCATTATAGCTGTTTAAAATATCCATTTAAAACAAAGTTTGCAAACAACACTTTCAGTGATTCTTTTTCATTAGAGCTTCCTGTATATGGAGGGGTGCTTGGTCTGTTCCTGTGCTGTGCTCTTGTGGCTTTTGTGGTTCTCTACAGAAGACCATCTAATGCACACGCAACACGTAAGCTCAATTAAAGACTCTGTTTAGAAATATAAATGCAATTTACGCTATCATTTACTTTAGCACAGTTCAGAATATTAGAAACTCCTTTGGACTTCTTTTTCTTTTTTGATTATTTAAAAAATGTATTCCAGTACAGATTTCTGATTACTTGAAAAAAAGTTACTGATTACTGATTACTTCTAAAAAAAAAGTAATCTGCAACCTAATCCAAAGGATTACCAAATCACTACAATCACACAAATGATTTCCTAGCTGAGCAAGCCTTTTAGTCACTATTAATCTATCAGACATGGCAGAGTACTACTGTTCTCAGTCTGGTTCATTTTCTATGCTGTGTGGAAAACTTTTCATACCAACTCAATTTTTAATGTCTGACATTATTTCAAGAGCTAATTTATTTAATGACTCTCTAATGATCTCTCTCTCTTGCTCTCTCTCTCTCTCTCTCTCTCTGTGTGAACAAATCTGTCAGTCTGTCTAGCAGGATATCTTCTATCCACTAGTCCAGGCAATGGAAATTACTCTCCAGAAACCTACAGCATCATTCAGTATCTTTCAGAATAAACACTAGTCAAGCTTTTTTAGACATTTAAGGAAATACATTAATGATCTGTTGTTAACCATTAAAAGCTTAATGTTCTGCCGTTTTATGCTTAGCCATTTTTTTGTCCAGGAGGAACAAAAGTTGATTTAAGCTGAGGATTGTGTCTGTGTCTTATTTGCCATTCAGCATCTTGTATGTGTACTTTTGTCAGATAAAATTAGGAGTTGGTGTCTATGTGCTATGGATAGATTTGCAAAACCCTGTAATTTCTGAAGCTGCATCTAATGTTTTGACACAACTACTCAATAGTTCCGGTGGGGCATTTTGATGTTCTGTGTCATCTCTTGTTGCAGCTCTTGTGCTGCAAACATTTGTGCAAACCCTGCCTGTGCAAACGGAAAGTACACTACGCTGAAAAAGCCAGAGCGACGACCCACTTCTAAAGATGTTTCTGAACACGGCAAACTTTCCAGTTGCACATCTACACTGCCCCCACAGAAAGACATTCACAAATTCAGAAAGGGGCTGAACCACAGCACCACTGTGCATTTAATATGTTTAAAGAGTACGGTTGTCAGTATGGGGGGAGGTGTAACAGTGTGACTTGGCCTTGACTTCCAGGCCATTGATCTCAGTGGTAGTGAAACTATGGATAATCATGTCTACAATAAGATATTTCATTCTATTAAACATACATTACATTGTGATAAAGATGTACATAATATGGACAAAACCATGTGTATAGTCCTCATAATGAGTGAATTCAGTTAGTTTAAAGTGCACCCATTACACAGGTGTTCACTTGTGCACACAGATTCTGATGTCAAACTCCTTGTTAATTCCTTTGCTTTCAGATAAGCAGGTGTCTACAAACTTTTGGACATCAGTGCACTTAGAGAGATAACTTGCTGTGATTAATTGTTTCAGTAGTTGTGTTTCCAAACATACTTTTAATTGTAAATGCCATATTGATTTTAAATGTACTTGCCCTAGAACATAAACATGTTAAAATATCTATATTTTTGTTTGTCTACCGAACAAAAAGCTTATGTTCTCAATTGGGCAGATGGCAGCAGGATTTTAGCCTTGATTTCCATCTGATATTTTATGTTCTTGAGGAACTCAGAGGTAGTGAAACTAGTTTAATCACTGCTAAAATTAGGTATTTGATTGTAATAAACATACATTTCATGGTAACAAAGACATATTTGTTGGGCCACCAAGCTCATATCAGAGTTTCATGAAAGCATGTGCTTCACACAAAGAAGGCAGTAGAGAGCTTTGCTACAGAAACCAAGTTTAGGTGTCTCTCTTTGTAAGCCAACTGATGGAAAATTATTTTTTAACAAAACTGAATCATTCTATAGACCAAATACTCAATGTGCAGCATCATGTTTATTTTCATGTAAAAGCCCTTTAGGTAATCTATCTGTTCCATGTGTGGATGTGGTGCTGAGTGGTGAGTTTGTTATTACTGTATCAGAGTGTGGAGACATGGATCAGTACTGTGTCCACTACTGAGGAGATTAATAATTTGATCATTCATCAAAAGTGGCCAGTAATCCTGAGATAAATAACTGGGTATTACCTTGATTTATCCATTTACTCAGGCTTTAGTCAGAACTTGTACATAGTATTTAATCGTGTCTGTAAATAGTATTTGCAAGTGTGTAATAAAATGTTGGCCCGCTGGCAGGCCCTGGCCATTTAAGGTGTTAAAATGTAAAAATAACTGTATTCTGAATATTTTCTTTACAAACAAGGATGGACTGCTAACTGGGCCAGTGAGGCCAGTGCCCAGGAGTCTCTGACTGCCGGGGGCCTCAGGAGCCTCAGACCACAAGGTCCAAGGGTACTCAAATACTTGGGCAATCCACTCCAAATATAAGCATTGAATATACGAATAGCCATTCAACATGTGCAAAACAATAAATAAATAAATAAATGTTTTAGCCATGCTTGTGTGTAGAAATATGTCTGTTTCTGCATTATGACTCGGTTTGACTTTGAAGGAAGAAGAGATGAAATCTTGATTGAAGTTCGTCTTTAGGTACACAACTCTTACACAAAAAGTATAAACTGTTACAGTGTGTAGATCAAATATTACACATTCATTTTGTTTATTCTCAAAATAATAATAATGCATTTTATTTATAACATACCTTTCATTTAGGTGAAAATCTCAAGGCGAATTCAATACAATGATAAATGTGTACCATTTAGAAAAAGACAGTATACAGCAAAAAAGAGTAAATAATAATATCAGCAAAGCATCATAAGATTTAATAAAAGGCCTCCATGCCATGTTCAGTGCCACGCAATAACAGTGAGAAAAGGCCTTTCTAAATAAAAATGTGTTTAAGACAGTTTTAAAAGAAGTATCTGTGGAAGCATTGTATGCAGTTTAGTTCTACAAAGTTCCTTGAGATAATCCAGTGCATTGCCATGAACATACTGAATTTCATGGGCAATTCTGAATGAGGGAGGAAGCCAGTGTAAAGAACATAATATTGGTCTAATGTGTTCATATTTCTGGACTCTCATGAGTATCCTGGCTGCACAATTTTGAATATGCTGGAGCTTCTGAATATATTTGGCTGATACTCCAGTAAAGCACATTACAATAATCAAGTATACAGGAAACAAAGGCATGAACAGGCCTCTCTGCCTCAGACAGTGTTAGGACAGAACTTGGAAATACGTTTTAGATGATAAAAGGAAGTTTTACACAAATCTTGACTGTGGGCTCAGATTCAGATGAGAGTCAAACCTAACAACCAAATTTAAAACTGTACTGGAAACTGAATGTGCTGGCTATAAATGGAAACATGAGAAGTGGAGATTTTTTGCATTTAAGTGGAGTCTCTACCAAAAGAGCCTGAGTTTTATCAATGTTTAGCTGCGAGATGTTTTCCTTCATCCAGGACTGAATTACCTCCAAACAGGTGTTAAACTTGGATGTGGCTATAGAGTAAGTAGAAGGAATCTTTATATACAGCTGTGTATCATCAGCATAACAGTGAAATGACATGCTATGCCAACTGATGATATCTCCAAGGGGAAGCATATAAAAATGGTAAAAACAATGGGACCAAGGACCAGTCCCTGCAGTACTCCAGATGTTTGAGACCCAAAGCCTCCTAGTGAGACATATTCCGTCCTGTCAGACAGAAAAAACTGGAACCAGCTCAAAGCAGTCTTGGAAAGCCCTAAAGAAGAATGTCATGATTCACTGTATCAAATGCAGCGTTCAGGTCCAGCAGGATCAATAGGGAGGGAAATCTAGAATCAGCTACCATTAAAAAGCCATTTGCCACACTGAGAAGGGCTGTTTCAGTATTGTGGAAGGCATGGTATCCAGACTGGACTTTTTCATAGCAGTGGCTATGAGTGAGATGTTCTTAAAGATAAACAGCCACTACATTCTCCAGCACTTTTGACAAAAAGGGCAAATTAGAGAGGCCTGTAATTAGCCCAAACATCCAGCTCCAGTGTAGGCTTCTTAAGGATAGGTTGAATAATGGCACTATTAAGAACAGATGGAACATTCCCAGTTTGAAGAGAACAATTTATAACCTGTGTTATCAATGCACTAGG